TCTGTGATAAGAAACGCGAGCTTCGGCTACCTGCGTCTAACGTCGCAAAGGGAATGCTGAGCGATAAAACACGCTACGGGTAGTTATATGGATGGCGTGGCCAGTGGACACATACCGCGAGGCTTCGAGATGCTACGCGTAATGTACAGCAACAAGAGGGAGACGCGCAGAATAAGCAAGGAAAGCTGAGTCGGGCTGCTTCGAGGCCTGTGCCGAGAGGTTGAGGTCATCCGTCGATTCGCCGGAGAGATGTGGCGCCCCACGCGCGGGATGACCATGTCACACCGTTGGAAGCCCTGCATCTTTCCACCGAGAAGCGAGCGCTAAGCCGCCAAGTGAAGCATAGCAGAAGACTTTACTGTTGGCGATGTAGATGCGGCGTCATCGCGCCTCGGATGTGTTGCCCTGTCGTTGCTCTCAGCTGTTCTGTCCATGTCTCGTTCCTACACCTCACCATCTAACGCTCATCGGCGCATCCCGTGCACGGCCTGACCGGAGCCGCAGTGACACCCCGTGCCACGAACATTGAACCAGGTTCCCGATGCAGAGACCATGACGAATGCGGACGACGACCAGACGACCAGGCTTACCCTGCCGCGGACACGCTCCAACTTTGCAACCCGTACAGCACGAGATGAGAGTGCACGACTGCATCGACGCTCGTTCGTACAGCATTCACCACCACCTGACGAGGAAACACCGCTTCTGCCAAGCAGTGGACGCCAGCTTCCAGCTGATGCCGATGTCTACGATGGCGCTCAAGGGACGGGGAGCAAGCAGAGAGGGATGAGCAGCTGGTTCTCGAGCATCCTCCAGACGTCACGATCCAATTTAGCGAAGGAGCCAAATAATGACGGCAAACGACACTCAGTCAGCGAAACCACCAAACCAAGGCCTGGCGCTTTCCCCAGACCCGTTGGAGGTACCGACAAACTAGGCACTTTCGCTGGAGTTTTCGTGCCGGTAACCCTCAATGTCTTGTCGATCTTGATGTTTCTCAGATTCGGCTTCCTTCTCGGTCAAGCTGGCTTGATTGGCATGATGGGTATGCTGATAGCAGCTTATGCCATCAATCTCTTAACTACCTTGAGTATTTCCGCTGTTGCCACCAATGGCACGGTTAGAGGAGGAGGCGCGTACTACTTGATCTCCCGCAGCCTGGGGCCAGAGTTCGGCGGATCGATAGGCATCGTCTACTATCTTGGCTCAGTCTTCAACACCTCGCTCAACGCTGTCGGTCTCATCGACTGTCTTATCGAGAACTTCGGGAGCCATGGAGGTGACATGGCAGAGTGGCTACCTCAAAGCTACTGGTGGCAGTTCCTCTGGGCTACCTTGGTTCTAGCCGCGTGCACACTTATCTGCCTTGCTGGAAGTGGGCTCTTCGCACGCTGCAGCAACGGCCTACTACTAGTCTTGTTGGTCGCGACTATCAGCATTCCTCTATCCGCTATGTTCAGGCCTCCGTTCGAGAACCCCAAAGAAGACATTGTTTTCACAGGCCTCAGCATGGACACGTTCCGTCAGAACTTACTACCCCACTTCACGCGAGGAGCCGCGGGAAGTGTCGATCATCACCGAGAGAACTTCCAAGATCTCTTTGGTATTCTCTTCCCAGCTACGGGAGGAATTCTGGCCGGTGCAAGCATGAGTGGCGACCTCAAGCACCCAAGTAAAGCCATCCCAAAAGGGACATTGTACGGCATAGGTCTGACCTTCATCCTTTACACACTCGTTATCTTCGCTATGGCGGCGTCAATAGCACGCGAAACTTTCTACAACAACACAAATGTCATCCAGCTGACCAACATATCCGGCGCGGTCGTGCTTGCTGGCGAGATGGCGACATCCTTATTCTCGGTACTCATGGGTGTTATTGGTTCAGCCAAGCTCCTCCAGGCTCTTTCTCGCGACAATCTTATTCCTGGACTTTCGATCTTTGGACAGGGCACGAAGAAATCTGATGAGGTAGGATGTCTACAGCTATCTTTACTATGTCTAAACTAACCACGTAGCTTCATTCGCACAGCCGATTTACGCCATCATCATCACTTTTATCATCGCTCAAATCACAATGTTTGCCGACATCAATCAGATTGCTTCATTTATCACAATGACAGTAAGTGCTCCCTATTACTCTACCATTCGTCAGTCAAACTCTACCTGTTCAAATCCTAACATTCTTTAGTATCTAATGACATTTCTCGTCACCAACTTGGCCTGTTTCTTACTCAAGATTGGTTCTGCCCCAAACTTCCGACCCTCCTTCCACTACTTCAACTGGCCCACAGCTGCTGTTGGGACGGTTGCCTGTGGAGGTACCATGTTCTTCGTCGACGGCTTCTATGCATCTGGATGTGTAGCTCTGCTCATGATTATTTTCCTACTGATTCACTATACGTAAGTTTTGACTGTACGAAGTGCATGTGAGACATATACTGACTTCGTATCTCTACTTCTGCAGCACCCCGCCTAAGCCATGGGGCGATGTGAGTCAGGGTCTCATCTATCACCAGGTGCGAAAGTACTTGCTGCGCTTGCGCCAAGAGCATGTCAAGTTCTGGAGACCCCAGATCTTACTCTTAGTCAATGATCCGCGGCGGCAGTATAAGTTGATCCAGTTCTGCAATTCGCTGAAGAAGGGAGGTCTCTTCGTACTTGGGCACGTCATTGTCTCTGATGACTTCGGGGAAGCTGTGCCAGAAGCAAGACGACAACAGCAGTCTTGGACAAAGTATATCGACTTCTCCAGGATCAAAGCGTTCGTGAACATCTCTATATCTCCTGCCGTCGAGTGGGGCGCTCGCAACCTTGTTCTGGGTGCAGGGCTAGGTGGCATGCGGCCAAACATAGTTGTCATGGGCTTCTACAACCTACCTGAGATGAGGCAAGCGCAGCCTTCCATCGGCATACCTTCGCCCCAACCATCACGCCCATCCAGCAAGGCTACGAACCATCCCATCTCTCGGAAAGCAATCCAAGCAGCAGCCAGGCGACGCGTCACAGGAAACACCCATAGCATGCTTCCCACCGACGCTATGAAACCAGAAAACGCAATTGCTATACGCAGTTATGTCACTGTTATCGAAGACCTGATTCTCCGGTTGCAAGCAAATGTCGCTATAGGCAAGGGGTTCCAGGAACTCGAGGTGCCCCCTACCAAGCCTACGGTGAAACAAAAAGCGTTCAGCTTCATTGGTCTTAATGACATTGATATCGAGGATTCGTCAAAGAAGTACATTGACCTCTGGCCGATTCAAATGTCAGCCGAGGTCGCTACTACTGGCGATGAGCCAATCCGCAAGAATGTACTGACCACGAATTTCGACACGTATACACTCATCCTGCAGCTTGGATGCATCTTACACACGGTACCGTCTTGGAAGCGCATGTACAAGTTGAGAGTCTGTGTTTTTGTGGAGTATGAGACGGACGTCGAGGAAGAGCGTAGTCGCGTTACTACATTGCTGCGTAATCTGCGCATTGAGGCTGAAGTCCACGTCTTCTGGTTGTCCTCCGGAGATTTGAGCATGTATGAAGTCATCATCAACGGAAGAGATGATGGCCACCTTGATCAGACTGGTCGTGATATCGATTACTCGCTGGAAGACGAGCGATGGTGGCAAGACATCAAACGACTGCGTCAGCCCGAGAGTTTGAGTGCGAGCCAGGAACTAGCACAGACTGTCGATATTCTTGAAGCCGTCACCAGTTGGCCTATTGCCTCGTTCCAACATGGTAGGCAAGAGACGAACCCAAAGCGCTTCTCAGCCCTGCGCAAGATGCTACGTAAAGCAAAAAGTAGAACGTCTGTTGGCAATCTTGGGGACGGGGCAAGGGCCAAAATGCAAAGCCAAAGAATACCAGTCCAGCTACTTGAAGACAGCGATAGCGACACTCAACCATCCTCAGCCGGCGGAAGGGAAGACGATGCTGATGACGAAGCAATGGCTTCTGATAGCGAGGCAGTCGTTAGTGGCAGCAACTTCGACGCATACGACTTGGATGCATCGAGTGATGAGAGTGATCAGAACGGGCAGAGAATGTCACTAAGAAGACGTAAAACGGCACCCAGCACCTCTTTCTTCACCAGGCAGCTGGATCTCCGTAAGGCCATTTGGAAAAGTTCACGGAAGGACAGTACCTCGCAGAAAGATGACCGGCCGACCACACAGTCGGTGACACCGCTCAAACCGCACCCAGACGCCGTTGCCTCTGACACAGCTATTCTTCACGCCAGAGAGCGAGCCCAGTCCCAAAGTGTAGCCAGTTCATCCTCTCAGCGCTCTGGATCCTCACGCGCCGCTGTCAAACCGCCTACAATGCGTCGGCAGTCACTGCCCAAGTTCACATCGAATCCAACTCCCCGAACAGCGATATCATCGGAAGAAACGGCCGGCCCATCGATAACATTCGTCGACACGCCCAAACCAGCAACAGCCAACAAACAAGACCCCATTGTGACATCTGGAGAGCCCTCTCAACTCGCCGCAGAAAATACACCAGCAAATTCCAGTCCCCACTCAGCCGCAGCATCATCTCACCAACCTACTGACACGGGTACCGCCTCGCCAGCTTCCGGGTTCCCTGCCCAACAAGCCATCCCTCTCTCCTTCAACGACCTACCGTGTCGCGCTCAACATCTTATCCTGAACGAGCTTATACGGAAGCATTCTGATGAAACGGCAGTTGTGTTTACTACGCTTCCTAGTCCTATTGAGGGTACTTGTGAAAGTGAGGCAGAGAGTGTCAAATACATTAGCGATTTGGAGGTCCTGTGCCAAGGCTTACCGCCGGTACTGTTGGTGCATAGTAATAGTATGACCGTCACTATGAATTTGTAGAAAGACCAGAGTTTGAAGAGAGAGGTAGAACGTAAGTTGTATAATTTAGATAAGCATCGAGACGCTAGTAGATCGCATTCCATGAAATTGATACATAGCGATGAAGTCGCAAGAACGAGGTGGTGGTATCATTAATGCTACAACTCAAAGTCTAAACTACTCGCTATCATCCTCGCTACTCGACATCTCTGCGTCTTTCTCAAGGACCTCTTCTTCCTCTTCATCTGGCTTGCCCGTCATGGAGAAAGCCTTCAGACACGTAATCCTGGTACCAGTCGAAGAGGTTCCAAGCAACTTGCCGACCTGCGCCGCTGTGAAACCCTCTGCCTTGCCCGCATCATCACTCTTCAGCTCGTCCGTGCTCAAGGACCAGAAGCGCACTGTGCCATCGCTGCTACCAGTGACGATGAGGAAATTGGTTTGTGAGAGCTGGACGATTTCAAAGTCCTTGACACGGCCTGTCATGCCTGCTGCTGGACCACCGATTTGAGCGACTAATCTGCTAGCAGGAACCTCGTCTTTGTTCTTCTCTGACGATTCAGTCGGTCTCGTGGTGTTCGTGTCGAAGAGAAGAACGCGGCCATCCTCGGTTGAGACGAGTAGCGTGCCCGGATGCGACTCCGACGGCAAGTAGTGCATTTGATGGATCTTAGTCCTCGGGGTCGGTGCAATCTTTGCTTTTGGCTTGGATTCGATGTTGAAAACGACGATGCCGCGCTCGAAGCCCACGGCGAACTCCTCGCCTTCCTTGTCCCAGATGACTCGCCTTCCCTCACCGGATGCGAAGCGCCCTTCGCCTACGGCGGTGAGGATGTTGCGGTCAAAGTTGAGCACGCCGGCTTTCTTTCCTGTTACGAGGTTCCAGAGTCGCATGCACTTTTCGCCTTTGCCTACGCTCAGCATGAGCTTCATGCTAGGGTGGACGGCGAAATCATTAATTCCAGAGGGTACTTCACCGGGTCCGGCTGTGTCTCCACTGGGTCGGCCTTGGGGCTTCGGTATTGGCGCTTTGATGGTTGAGAGGGCAGTCCAGTCGCGTGTTCTCGTGATGGCGATAGTGCTGTCTTCAGCGGAGCTGAGGAGCTTACTCCTGGTTGGGAAGTAGAGGGCTGTGATGTTTGACGAGTGGTGAAGCAATGAGCCGAGTTCCTTGTTCTTGGGATTCTCAGTAATGGAGCCGCCATGGAGAGAAGGCAGCTTTGGTCTGAGTTTTGAGGCGACTGGGGGGGCGGTCGAGATGGAGTAAAGGTTGATGCGCTCATCGGTGCTGCCTGTAGCTAACGTGATTTTGGACGTCTCATTCGAGAGCGGAGACAGGGCAAGACAGCGGATGGAGGATGAATGGGCGTTGAAAAGAAATGTGTCGGTAAAATCTACTTTTGGCCTGTCCGTCTCAGGTGTCGATGCATCATCCTGTCCGGTGAAGAGACTGCTGGGGATGGATGCCGCGAATCCATGCAGAACTCTCTCGTAGGAGCCGGTTATGACTTGCACAGTCGTGACATCTGGGACGGAATCTTCGCTTTTTGCAATGGAATCGATCTGGAGTTTGCTCATGCTCAGGTCCATCTTCCCGTTGGCTGCACCTTCCTTGCCATTGCGGATCGCCGTTTCCTTGGTCGCCGGCTGTTTTGTGGTGGAGGCAGCAGCGCCCTTGGAGCTCTTCAGCGCCTTCGCCTTGGCGGCGCTCTCGGCGATCTCTCTCTTTCTCTTTGCCATTGTCGATAACTCGTCGTTGTTTCGCGCAGCCGTCGCGTCTTGCGATCCAGAAGTTTTTGATGCAGACGGCAGGGCTAGGCCGGGTGGAGTAAGGCGCAGCTAGTGTCCCAAGGTTGGCCCAATGAACCAGGCTAGGCAGGGCTTATCACGGCCATCCCTGCAATGCGGCGTGAGCAGCCCTTCCCTCACGTTCTCGCAGTCCCGCCCATCAGTCCAGCATATCGCAAAACACATTTCCATCAACCAACGCGACCACCAACCCCGATAATTCATCACAACGGCGGCACTCGTGGATAACGGATGTCGGCCACCGTTCGTCGGTCTTCATATGTCCCTCGACAGTTTACGGGAAACCTTACGCCAGGAGAAGACAAATGAAGCCGCGTAAGTCAAAGTCCACGACTATCCATCGCGTTTGCAATTTGGCCGATGGAATCGACTAAATGCATCGATGCGACAAGGAAAAATCGCTCGTTTTAGTTTATTTGCGTGTTGTGGTGGTGCTAATTCAATGTCCCCAGATTCACATCCGCGACGTTGGAGCGCCATCTCCGGGCACTCTGGAAGGTCACGGGCTGTTGCAATGCCGCTCTGAACGGCCACCAGCCCGTAGCAGACGACTTCGTCTATGGCGAACCTGACGAAGAGGAACGTCGTTTTCTCGACCAAAACGACATCTCACAGTAAGATTCCTCCTGTCCCTAGTACCATGCACCTACTCGTCGCCAATGTTCACGTTGTCGTCGTTCCACTCTGCTAACACGGTCGCGTCTCTAGAGGTCGACGCTTCAACGATGCAACGCTGCCCTTCCCAGTGGCCGTTACTGACCATCAGCCACCACTCCCTGCTACCCTACCCTTCCAGAATCCAACCAAGACCTTCACCAAGCCGTCGCCATCCCCCATCGTCGGCACCCCAAGCCTCGAAGAGCAACTTCGTGCCGCCTCAGCTTCGCCGTCCGTTGCGACGCAAACCTTACCTTCAGTCGAATCGTCATTACAAAGCGACGTTATCCACGTTGTCCCCCGCGTAAAGGCTGCCTCACATGCTGCATCGCCCACTACAGAAGATGAGGTAGCAAACAATGCCCAACCCGACGCGACCCTTGCTGTCCAGGCTCCAGGCAATCAAGAACATTCCCCTCGCGACAAAACTACGGTCGACCCAAGTGCTGTTGCATCCCCGACGGCCGACGACACGAATGCTGCTACCCTCCTTGACGGATCTTCGTCGAGTGCCACCACGGACGCCAAACCGAAGCCACCACAAGTCGTTCATCTACCACCAAAAGAAGTTCAAGAGGCCAGACTGCAGGAGACGGAGCGAAAATTGGACAAAGCTGCCGAGAAGGAGCGAAGAGAAGAGGAACGGCTTACCATCCCACCCACGAATGCGCCCGTCGACGTTTCTTCCCCGTCATCGACCGTCGGGCCCTACTCCCAAGCAACACCGCACGCGCAACACCATTCGCCTGATACCAGTCCTGATTCGGAGACTTACAGGGAGCGCAACAACGTCCCGTTGCCAAACGACGATGTCCTCGACCCCGCCGCGCAGCAAGTCAAGGATGACCACGAGCGTGCTCTGCACAAACGAATGAAAGAAGCAAGAGAGAACGCCCGAGCAAGAGAAGATGACTCCCCTACACCAGACATCGAGCAACAGATCGAAGACGAACAGGCGATACGGTTGGCGCGCGATGGGAAGAGTCGTCTGAGCGAGTCCCAGCCCTCCGGGGACGTACATTCGTTGACGGAGGGTGTGGACGGCGGTTACCGTGCGGCAAAAACAGAAGAAGAAGACTCGATCGGAACAAAGATTGTTCATGATGTTGCCATTGACTCTTTACCAACTCCAACGACCGTTGCCGCGGAGCCTTCGACTGTGGACCGCGACAATGCCGACCAAGCCATCGACCACCAACAGGCCTCTCCTACCGCCGACCATCCCACACCTCCCGCTGACATCGATATTGAAATGCGCGACGTACCATCCCTGGATGCACAAACAACGACCTCGCCCCAACATCCAACATCCCGTCCCGGGCGTATGACTACCCGCGTCGCCTCTGGAGCAATACGACAGAAATCTGTCTCTGAAATTATAGCTGAGAAGGCAGGACCGAAAGCCATACCAACCCCCCGCTCAAGTAATCATTCGGCATCTACAAGTCCTCCAAGACCAAGAACAGCTCGCAATAAGTCACAAGAAGTCTCGACCGTCGTATTCGCCAAGAAGACACCGACACGGGCATCGAAAGCCCTGCAATCGTACAACGAAGATTATGCGTCGCTCCAAGGTGCTTCGGAAGATTCGAGCCGAGATTATCTAGAGGGTCTTTTCAAGTACCAGGCTCACCACCCGCCTAGGTCTGTACCTCTGCAGGAACTTGTAGCATCTGCAAGGAAGACGGTGTCGACGGCTGGTACGCTTGCGATGATTCGTGAACATCAAGACTACAAGATTTTGAAGAGAGTGTACCAGTTGCAGAATGCCAACCGATGGTCCTTGAGGCAACTTCAGAAAGCCGTCGAACCTGAGCGTCCATTTACCCACCAGGATCAAGTGCTTCTCGACATGAAGTGGATGCACACAGACTTCAAGGAAGAGAGGAAATGGAAGAAAGCACTTGCCGCTACTTTTGCGGAATGGTGTGCCGAGTACGTGGCCAGTACACCTGAAGAACGATCAACGCTACGGGTCAATGCATGCATTCCAAAGTCGGCTAGGCGTGCGAGCAACGACGAGGAGATGAATGATGCTCCTACGCCAGAGCTTGTCCACTCGAGTACGCACGAGACGGAGAGTGAGTCATACGGTGATGAGGACGATGTACTTACTCCCGTCAACGCCAGCCCCCCTACAGGTCTATTCTCACTAGGCTTCAACGACGTGGTCATGAAGATCGACCGCACACCTGCCAGTGATACTATGTTCCGGGAACTGCCTCTTTACGACCCGATGTTCGAGGGCTCCAGCGACACCAACCCGTTCTCTCTCTCAGAGCCACCCATCCTTCCCGTTTCCAAGTTCGTCACTGGAAAGCTGGTCTCGCAAATACGAGGGCCACCCAAGAAGCGTAGCAGGTATGACTATGACTCTGAAGACGAGCCGTCTTCGCCGCCTAGTCGATCTGGTACGTCAGCCGAACATTCAATGCCATCCACACCAGGTCGACGCCTATTCTGTCGCAACGACTTACCGCCGGAAATGACCAATGTCGCCTTATTCAACGCGGAGAACAAGCATGTTCGCGACCGACTTCAGGCTGCCCATCAATTCAGACCACCTACAGAGTTCAACATGCCCACTATTGCCTTCTTCGAAAACCGCACGCCCTCTCAGTGGCTGTGGGAAGAAGACCAAAAGCTACGAGCGTTGGTGAAAGAGTATACATTCAACTGGTCCCTGGTCTCTCAGCAGCTTTCGTTACCTTCGATGTTCGTGTCCGGATCCGGTCGACGAACGCCATGGGAATGCTTTGAACGCTGGGTGCAGCTTGAAGGTCTTCCGGCGGAGATGTCCAAGACACAGTACTTCCGCACCTACCAAAGCCGACTGGAGCAAGCCAACAAGACCGTTTTCGCTCAGTTCCAGGCTCAACAGCAGCAGCAACAGCAACAAGGCCAGACCCCAGGTCAACCGCGCAGAAGACCCACGACTACGCCAATACGAGTAGAAAGAAGGCGAGAAAACAGACATCTCGCTATCATCGATGGCATGCGTAAGCTGGCCAGAAAGCGCGAGTCTGCTGCCCACAAGCAAGCGGAGTCTCAGAAAGCCGCTGCGCTTCGAAAAGCACATGAGCCTGCGCCACCCAAACAGACAACCCTAACGCCACAAGAGTTTAGTCGTATGAAGTGGGAACGCGAAGAGAAAATGAAGCAAAGGCACATTGCGCAGGAGATGATGGCTAGGGTAAGAATCATGTCCCTACACGATGAGTACACCACTGACGGAAAACAGCAACAAATGATGGCGCGGCAGCAGGCCCAAATACAGGTGCAACCAGGAATGGCGAATGGTGTGAACCAGATGCAACGTAACGGGACACCCGGGGGCACAAACAATGTTCCTCCGCAAATGGCTAATGCGTCTCTGCAACAGGGGCAGAATGGCCCGGCAATGGCGGCCCGCGCACACCAATCTCAACAGGGAATGCAAGCTAACTTTGCTAACGGCAACATGTCTGGCATGTCGATGGGCACACCGGGCGTTCCCCAAGCACGAATGCAAGGCAACATGCAGAACACCCAGCGTATGGGACCGCCGGACCAGATGCGCATGGCCATGCAAAGAGGCCAATTTAACGCTACGCAACAACACCAGTTCCAACTCCAACAGCAACAGATCAACATGGCTAGCAATCTTACCCAAGGGATGGGAATGAACGGTATTCCTAATGCGAACATGATGACACCCGTTTCCAATCAGAACGGTGGAATGAACGGGAACATGAACAACTCCATGAATGGGATGGCAAACACCGCTGGATCCCCACGAATGAGCCAGGGCAATGGTAACATGCAAACACCGTCCCGCCCCCTATCGAGTGGGCACATGCCTCAGCTCCTAGCTTTCCAGAACCAGATCAAGGGACAACATCCGGAATGGACACCAGAACAAGTTTCGAAACAGGCCTCCGACCACCTCAACCGTTACCTGGCTAAACAACGTACGCAGGCATCATTGAGTCAGCAGGCAATGAGCGCAGCAGCTGGATCGCCTGGCATATCTCCTTCTCCACAAATGGCGAATAATCAGTATTTCCAGCAGAACGGTAGCATGGCCAACGCTCCTCAAACAAACGCGGTACAGAATTATCAGGCCCAATTGGTCCAACAACAACGGCTGATGGCAAGACAGCAGGCTGGCAGTCCTGGATTGAACGCCCGACCACCTAGTCGGAGCGCCACGCCTCAGAATCCACAGATGCAACAAAGTCCCGGTATGCAGCAAGCACAGATTAACCGGTCTTAAGGAAACTGATTGGCAAAGAGAGCGCCTCTGCGAGGCCCCGTCACCCTTGGCTTGTATATAATTTTAATGTTCCTGCTTAGCGTTGTTCTTCTAGCGTGGGAAAGTCTGGTTTTTTTTTTTGCGATGTGTGGGCGTACCCATGAGAAGCATGGTGTTTGTGGCGTTGAATGGCGCTCACGCAGTCGCTCAAGGCAGTGGTTTGTATTAGGGGAAAACTCTTTGTGTCGCTTTTGCCAGCGACACCCATCATGTCTTGGTGATGGGCCTCCGAAGCAATATGTAGCTGTCTGAATATCATGCAACTCGAGCATAACATCGAGATACAAACATCTTTCAATCGCGTCCCTTGCCGTGTACTGAGGCGACTTGTGGACTGTGTGGCTAAGCCGCAGGACCTGCCATTGGTATATATTCCAGTAGGTTTCTAAGGTCTGCAAAACGGTTGGAGACTGAATTGTCGAAGATCGGTGCTCGGCAGTCGACGTGGAATGTAGCGATGGAGAAGCTGATGTGGGCCCGGACCACATGTTGACTAAGCTGCGCGAGGCAGCTGAAGGCGGTGGGTGAAGGCACAAAGAACGTCGAGCGCGGAAGTCAACCTCACCTCCGCAATCTTCCCCAGCGGCCACCACACGCCATCGCAATCTTGCCACAGCTCCTCCGACTCGAACCAACCGAGCGCTGATTCTTTCGTTGGTTTTTGGGTTTCCCCACTGCTACAGCCGTCGCGCACCTTCCTCACTTGCGATCGCAATAGGCGTATTCATACATACGGACAAGAGTAGATAGGCATAGAGAGGAGAAAGACCCGGCAAAATGAACGCGCCAGACAGGTATGCTTCATCTTTTGCAGTTCATCCTCTTCAACACAGTATCTCTGTACGCGCAGTCCACAGTCGACGATGTCAGTTCAACACCACGGTGACGACGAACCTACACGGCGCGTTCGCTGCTTCCACCACGAGCGCGTGAAAACAACGAAATGACGCACATTCCTATGGGCGCACGACACTACCGCGTGACCACGAGAGCGCGCTGCGCCGCATATATACACCTCCGATGGCAAGAGCGTGCGACACAACGAAAGTCACGACTATACCACGCCAACGCCCCAACGAACGAGACGCTCGATACCCCCAACCAATGAGCGACAACCCAAGCACATCCTTCTCCTCGAAGATCGGCCAACTGATAGAGGAAAATCCAAACTGTGCACTGCGCGACAGCTCGAAAGACAACCGGCATGTAACGCACAAAGCTGACCACGACTACGAGAACAGATTCGAGCTCTTCCTGCTAGACGAAGGTCAGCAGAAAGTCGAAGAGAAAGCCGAGACACGTACGTAGCACCCCACGCCATCCCTTCCACCCACACTCCCTCCCCCCTTCCACCCACCAACTAACAACCCTCGCACAGGCGTCCCCAACACCGCCGTCTTCACCTTCAACAAAGAAGACCACACGCTCGGCAACCTCCTCGCGCAGCGGCTCCTCAAGAACCCCGCCGTCATGTTCGCCGCCTACAAAGTGCCCCACCCGCTCTTCGCCACGTTTGAACTGCGCGTCCAAACCGACGGGTCCATAACACCCAAGGAAGCTGTCATGGCGACTTGCCGGCTGGTCATCCAGGACCTGTCGAAGCTGAATGAGAGCTTTCAGACGGAGTGGCTGGGTAAGAGGATTGTTAGCGAGGGTGAGGCGGAGAGGCAGCAGAGGGAGCAGAATAACTTCTAGGTTTGCGCGCTTTGCCGAAGTGGCTACTGGGAAGCTCTTGGGAGATGGAGTTGTGGGTTGCATATGTTAGGCGTTTTTGACTGGTTGGTTTGTTGGTTGTTATGACGATTCAACAAAAGAGTTTTGATATCGTGACTCACATACCCTATAGAGCTGCGAACAGTTTGGACAAAGAAAAAACAAAGTGGCTCGTCTTCTTCTATCTTCACAGTTGCTGTAGACCATTGACTGTGAGAAAGCTGTTTGGTACTGGTATAGTCTTTCGTCTATCTACGTTTTACACACGCAAATGCTAGTCTACTCGTCATCCAGATCCGACCAACGTCCCGGTAGTGGCTTAGTGGCGAGCTCAGCATCATCTTTCGGCGCGACATGATTCTCGTCGCTAGCCGGCGTACTGCCCGAAGCCTCAGGCACATCCTTGGACGCACCTTCATCCTCGCTCATGACAGCGCTGTTAGCCCCACTAACCTTCTCCTTCTGCTCCTCCTCCTCCTCGGCCTCCTCCCAGCTCTCTGCAACCTCAACAGGTACCTCCTTCTGTTTCTTCTTCTTGCTACTCAAGCTGAGCACCGCAAACCCGCCCTTGTTCCCGAAGGAAGTTGTCTTTGGGAGCTGGCGGTTTGGAACACCCTTCGAGGCTGCCACTTCGCTCCAGCCTGAACCGGGACCTACATCAGACTCTTTGCGCAGGATGTTGAGTGAGGAGTCGAGACGCGCAAGCTGCATGCTTTTGCCGATGTTTTGCGTGGTGAGAGCTTTGGTTAGCGGTGCTTGGATCGATTCGAGCATGGTCTGCATTTCGCGTTCTGGGATACTGAGCCGAGCTGCTAGAGGTGGCTTCAATGCTACGGCTTCGCTGGGAAGGAAGGTGACCTCTAGCTCGCATCGGAACGATGTCGTTGCGAGTACGCTCTTGATGATGGGGTTGAGCTCTTCGATAGTGAGCGCAAAGCGAGGATTCAGGATAAGGAACGCGTTATAGGGGTCGCCATTGGTGTTGCTGGGCTTGGGGCGCAATGTGGCAGTGGAAGACACTGCTGGTGTGGGCGCAGGCGCAAGACGTTGTTGAACTTGACGAGTTCTGGCGCAGTCCGCAAGTGTCCGCATTGGGGCCATGACGAACTTAGGGGTCTTGAAGATGGCCACATGTCGATGTGGTTCTGGATCCATGCTCTCGGAGTCCATGCCAAAATCTTCAGCCAGGTGGTGGATGAAGGCGCGCTGACTACGGGGCATTGGCTTGAATCGAAGACGCTTCTCATCTGGGTCGGCCGCGAAAAGTCTAAGCTGCTTCTCCTGAGTCGCTGCCCAGGTAGAGTTTTGCTGGTACATGTTCAGTGTGGCGTCTGAGTATGGAATGTGGTCATTCTGGTGCTCCGGATCAACGTTGAGTGCAAGTGCTAGAACACGATTACGCTCTAACCTCGCGCACTCTTCGTCACACTTGAGCACCTTTTTCTGGTTGCCATCTCCATTGCGCGAAGCATTGCATTTGGCCTCTTGCTTAATCCTCTGGCACTCGCAAGTAACGAAGATCTTGTGGGGACACGGTTTCTCTTCTTTGCAGGGTCGAGGGAAGTGGCAGGGTGCCAAACACGGATGACCACAGGTGCTAAGCTCTTTGCCACATGCCTGGGTACATGGCTCTTCGCACTCTCCGGGTCGATGACATTGCTTCTGACACTTGTGTGTGCCACACTTGAGCGTACGCCCGCAGACTTGGCCACAGCGTACCTCGGTCAGCCAGCATGGCTGGTTTTTGAGAACACTCTTGCCACATAGACATGGCTTGGCGGTAAGGAAAGCGCACTTCGGACATGGCTGGTCATCCAGATGGCAACTATGGTCCAGTTGGGGATGACCGCAGTCCTTAGGTCGCTCGCACTTGAAGCGACACGGTGGAGGTTTTGTACCGCATGGTAATGGTGGTTGTAGCACAGTCCGTCCACAGTGACAGCTAAGTTCATCGAAAATGGCATCGCGACATGTGCCACACGGACCCTTATGACAAAGTTCCTGGCAGCGATGTTCGGGGTTGCCGCACTTCAATTGTCGACCACAGCTCCGCGTGCATATGTGCTCGGCCTCAAAATTCTCGTGAGCCTGACGAGGAGCCGAGTTCAAAGGCCTTCCTTTACGGCGGTTCGACTGACGTTCCGCAGCTTTCTTCTCTCCAGCGCAGCAGTGCTCGCCGCACTCGTGGCGCCCGCAGTTCAACGAGACTTTGCAGATGCGCCTGCATTGGGGAGGCTCGTCCATGCCTTGGTGGCAGATGGTCCTGGATGATGTGCGTCCACACCTACATGATATATCAACCGTCTTCAAGCAAGGCCGACATTCGCCTTGGTGACAGAGCTGCTCGCACTGGTGACCACATGCGAGTGTTTGACCACAAGGTTTGTCGCAATTGGGGATCGGATCTTCGCAGGTCGTGCGTGGGTTGCCGGGCATGTCTCTCAAAGCGGTCTTGCCACAAGGACAGCGGTTGACTCGGTCTGGAGATCGCGGACAATGAGGCGCTTGCGTATCCTGTGAATGGCATGCCATCTCACAAGTGTGCTTCCCGCAATCGAATGAGCGTCCGCACTGATTAGGGCACTGGAAGGATCCTATCCAGGTCTCTACTGTGGCAGCACCGTCTGCGGCGACATGAGACTGGCTGCTCTGCTTCTCTTCTGCCCGGTCATGACATAGAATGTCTTTTTGTATATGTCCGCAATAGCAACGTGCCGGCACTCGTACCTCGCAGGCACCGCAAGGACCGTCGTGACAAGGCCGATCGCATCTGTGCTCACCACAAGACATCAAACCTCCACAGACATCGCCGCAACTCCAGCCGTTCTCATAGTCGGTATCAATACAACGGCGAGTGATGGACCTCTTCCCACAGAAGCAGTGTTGCGTGGGACCCATCAAGCCACACGGAGGACAGGGGCCGGCATGACACGTCGAGCCGCAAGGGTGTGGACAGGGCTTGGGGAGAAGTCGGGGTCGTGAGCAAGTCTGGCCACACGAGAATGGTGGCAGACCGGGTGTTGAGCGCGGATCCAGCTCCTTCTCGCACCAACAGTGGAAGTTCTTGGGTAGAGTGTCCTTTGGTAGGTTGCAGCCGGGGCAGCGCCACTGCCTCGGAGGAGGCGTCTCCCCATCTTGAGTCTGCTGTCGCGCTGCAGCCGAACCCTCATTTGTTGACCACTTCTTGATGCAGCCCAGGTGGAACACGGTCCAGCATGTTCTGCACGACCATACCCCCCGTGAACGCCTTGTGACGTCTTCAGTGCAAATGGCACATTCGTAATGACCATTATCTATATCCTCGTGTGTCCTGGTGGCGATGTCGGGCGCGGTGGATTTGGGTGCTTGCGGCTGCTTCTGGCGCGGCGGTCGTGATTTGCGAGGGGCGATGGGTTGGCCTGGCTGGAAAGCTGGCGCATCTGCTTGTAGTCCTGGCGGAGCTTCTGAGATGGCAGAAGCCGCATCGTCCTCTACAGTCAACTGTCCACCGAATTGACGGCCGCCAGCAGCCATACGCTGTGGAAACCGCTCTGCGCCGCCTCTTGCTCGGCCACCCCGCGCACCGCCACGTCCGCCTCTTCCACCTCGATGCGCTGCTTGTTGCACGGATGAGGGCACAAATTCGAGGGCAGCCGCATTTGGTTGCGACGGTCGTCCACTGTCGGCCTGACCTCCTCGCCCTCGTCCTCTACCACCGCGCCCGCCGCCCCTCTGTGGCTGCTGTGCTGCTTGCGCCTGTGTTTGCTCTGTTTGCTCTGACTGTGCAGCCGTGTTCGCGTTTGTATTTCGGCCTCGTGGTCGCCGCCGTCCTCGTGCGCCTCTCGAGGCATCGGATGGGCCTGCGGCAGGTGGTTGAGGTGCAAGTGCAGGAGCCGACATGTTGTCGATTGGATTGCGGCAGTTTCGGGCGCTGGCCAAACGAAGGTGTGTAAGCGTTGAACCGCCGAGGGTGGAAAGAAAGATTATTGCTGCAGGCTCTAGTAAATGTGTGGCCTGCTGAACTGGTAAAGAGAGGGCGGTCGCTTTGTTGCTGTGGTGGGAGGCTTTGCAGTGGCGAGCCTTATACTGGGGAAGGTGCGTGAAAGGACACTAAGAGAGGCAGTTGCAGATTATGCAGGCGCGGTGATGAGTCAAGGTCGACTCATGCGACGGAGCAGCCGGGCGCCGACACGTCGGGCTTTGAGGGAGCGCGTGAATTGATTGCTGATGTGGGAGCTGTCGCTCGCATCGGAAATTCCATGGGCGCGTCATACCCAGGGTCCGGCCAATCGAGGCTACGGCTAGTTCCGGGCGCCCATGGTCGCTGCGTTGGAGCTTCACAGCGCGAACAACACCATCGCCCGCCGACCACCCACGCACCCGCCCTCGCCCCCATCATGGTCAAGTCACTCGTCGGCGCCCTCGCTCTGGCAGCGCTACCCTCGGCCCTCGCCTTCCGCAACACGTCGCCCTTCTTCCTCTTCTCCACGGCCGAGTACGCCTCCGTCACCGCACGCCGCGCATCCTGACGTCCAAGCTAACAGCTGCAGCCTCCTGATCCCCAACAACGACGCCGCCATCGCTGAGTCATCCGAAGTCACCGTCGACATCCTCAAGGCCCTCGAGCACTGCCCGACCAAGTCGTACATCATCATCGAGCAGGATGGCGTTTCCGCCGCCGACTACGCAGACGGACGCGCCATGCCACAACTGAGCCAGTACATGTCTGGCCAGCACTCCGAAGTCAAGTCGACTGTGACGATTCCCGACGTTGTTGGCACTGTCGATGCGGGAGCCCTCGCCGACCATCTGGTGTCCAAGTGTGGGCAGGATGGTGGATTCTTCGGTCGAACAACCAACCCAGTGCGCCCAGGCTCGCAGGCGTTCCGCATCGAGCAACTTCAACGCGATGGTAGGCAGTACATACTCAGGATACTCTACCCGGGCTGACCAGTACAGACACCAAGTTCGACAACCTGATTGTCAACTCGGCCAAGTCCCAGGACTACACCTTCATCTACATCACCACCCCTCCCACCGAGGCGCAAGCCAAGGAGTCGCTCGAGCACCACACCTACGAGATGGAGACCTCCTTCCCAGAATCCGTGCAGATGGAGCTGAAGCGCGATCTCTCTTCGCATGCCAAGCGGGCAAACTCGACGGAGGGCGGCCTGTTCGAGAAGTACCAGTACTTCACACCCGGCATCTTCATGGGATTCGCTGCTATTATCCCGCTGTTCCTCATCCTTCTGGTCGGTATCCGAGCCCTCACCAGTCTCGAGGTTTCATACTTCGCCTTCAGCAAGGAGATGGGCCCCAACGCGCAGAAGAAGCAGTAGAGGCATTTCAGTGGATGGAGAACTTGTTAGCGCACAATGTATATCCTGTAAGTTAGTAGGCATGATGGACCGGCGTTTGGAATTTGAATCTGTAGCGAAATACCAACATTGTGTTACCCAGGATTTGCCTCTACCTGACATCCTGTTCTACTGATAACAGGAGCCCTGCATATATCGCAACCAGGCAGGCGCATAAGTCAACGTTGGCGGGCCGTTCGGGCTTGCTAGACTGATGATGTTAGTTGATCGGTTCCCCAACGTTTTACCGAGAACTCGACACGCCGGAGTACCACCTACGTGCACAGTCCGCGCTAGGTCAGGCCTCCACAGGTACACGAACAAGGGCTTCCCGTCCGATGTGTGGCAAGCATCCTGGCGTAAAGTGTATATGTACAGCTTTCTGTGTTTGAAATTCAAGTCCACTCTTCGACATCTCACCATTGACGAGTGCACAAGTCATTCAAAGACAGGCCTAGTGTCTATCGAGAGCTTTGAGCAAGACCCTGAAAAGCAATACCCGCACACATCCCACCATGGCCTCTTCAAAGCCGATGGACATCATCATCTTAGGTGGTGGCATAGCTGGCCTAACAACTGCCCTCTCCCTCACCAAGTTTGCGCCTGTTTCATCACCACCAAACATCACCATATTCGAGATTCGACCTGAGCCCGCGACAATCGGCGGTGCCGTAAACCTCACACCCAACGCTCTGCGTCTCCTATCACATCTAGGAGCTCTTGATGAGATCCGCGCCAAAGGATATGGCGCCGAGTGTCTCGCAGTCGAAGTCTTCGACCTCTATACCAACGTCAAGATAGCAGAGAGCTCATTCAAAGGACCAGACGGAAAGGGATTGGGCGACCCTCCATTTACTGCCTTGAGAATCACAAGAGGAGAAGCACTCAAGGGAGTACTCGCCGCCATCGAGAAGCAGCCCAACATCAAGCTCATCTGTGGCAAGAAAACAACCAAGATCAGCGAAAGCGACACCAGCGTCACCATCGACTTTGACGATGGCGGAAGCGCAACCGCAGACATACTAATCGGATGCGACGGCATCCACAGCGTCACCCGTCTCAAGCACGTCGAGCCCGAGCGCAAAGCAATGTACAGCGGAATCTGCAACGCCTTTGGCTTTGCCCCCCGACGAAAGATGTCCGAAGACAGCAAAGACTACGAGCCCACGCACTTTGACGTCAGCGGCATGAACTTTGGCCGTCGCGGCATGATGTTGACGTCTTTCCACGACCAAGCCCGCGAAAGCATCTACGTAGGCGCACTGATGCAAGTCCCCGAGATCGCCGACCGAAACGGCTGGAAGGCAGCAGGCGCCGATGCACAAAAGACGCGGGACGAAATGCTGGAGCGGTATTCTGGTGCTGCGAACCCGCAAATTGCGCATTGGATTGAAGACGCAGAGGGTCTGTATCTCTGGCCTGTGTTTACGCTCTCCAAGGGAGGCAAATGGGCTACCGACCGCGTTATGCTGATTGGAGACTCTGCTCATGCTATGCCTCCGCAAGGTGAGTCAACGGGTATTGTCTTTGAAGATGGTGTCTTGTTCTCGCGCTGCTTGGCCAAGTGGATGGAGAGTAAACGCGATGAGGGTGTACCGGTCAAAGAAGCGTTTGATGCGTACGAGACTCTGAGACGTGCTCGTATCGACACTGCGTTCGATGAGAGTCAGAGTGTGGTCAAGACGGTGCAGGATACGCCTTGGTAAGATCTCCCATGTACGGACTGCGTGTGAGACATACACTGACTTCGTACATCGTCATTTTAGGTTGGGTCACAAGATTAAGATGAATGTTGTACCGTGGTATCTTTGGTGGACGAGGAGCTATCGCGAGAAGCATTTTGTCGAGGATGTTACGACGTGTGATATTGGGTACTGATAGGCTGATGCCCTGCTTACACGAAGTGGCACAGCGCTCCACTTCAGGAATCCGGGTCCAAGTTTTTTACTCAAATCTCACATGGCCCGCTCATCTTCTTTACCTTGTCTGCTTTTCGATATCTGATCTTGCATCTTCATATCGGCCGACTCTACTTTCATCGCTCCCAATATCGCTTACAACGCTCATCCCTTCCTCAAACGCCACCAAAATGTCTTAGTATTGTTCTTCAAGCGCGCTCGTCCGTTCATTTAAAGTCCATTCGATCGAGACCGCGCCATCTCCGAGGGGCCAGACGAGAAATGCAAACTATATAGAGAGCTCTATAGGCTTCTAGTGATGCTCCAGTACGACATTCCACAGCCCTTCAAACTCCGTCTCTTGAACAAACCTCCAAAGCCGTTCTTTGCAAAATGCGACCCTTCTTCGACGCTACAGAATTTCCCTCTTTCCGCTTCTCAAACGAATCAAGTTCGTACCGGATGTTACGTCTGAACTGCACGCTCAGCAACCTCAGTCCTGTTGCGAGTCCCGTTTCAACAACAACCCCGACCATCGGTTCTATACCCCACATCCAGCGAAACGATTCAGCGGTCACTACACCAGTTCTGGAAACTACAAAACCGATTGACGACAAGGTCATGAAGGCCGAAGTGAGCGCTGTCTAGTCAGAGACTGCGTGAGATAGACAAGACGTGATGGCTTGATGTTGAAAAAGGAAAACGAGGTTGCGGCGATACTTTCGACGAAGGAAGGTAGACAGATGTAATATTAGGAAAAGCCACCTGTCCAACATTCGCACAATTATGCCCTTCTGCCACTATAATGTTAATAAATAGGTAAAAGCACGAATGAGAGAGAATCATCCCTCTCTTCGCAGCCCACTACAACCCATTTCACCACCCCATCCCACACCCAAGACAACAACACCCACCACAACCCACCCGCCATTTCCCCATGCAGCAACTTCCCCAACTCTCATCGATCACTGCAACACAACCACCTTGATCCATGCTCACACTGCACCGCGCAAAAAGGCGAGAAAAAGCGAAAAGCGCGACACTCGCTCTACTGCACGGGATGCGCACGCGCAGCGCACGGTCATTGGCTGCGAACTGGGTTCCTTGTGTGGAAAGAGTGGATTGTCACACCGGTATACTTACCTCCCGTTGTTTGGCGAGTCGTGTGGTGAATGGGTTGGCGGGTTGTTCCCTGTAGGGTGCTGTATTGAAGGAGTGGAAATGGGTTAATTAGGGGATGTAGTGTGGTGTGTGTGGGTTGGGTTGGTGGAATGCGGATGACGGGTGAGATCTTGTGAGGGAAGCGGCACGGGATCAAGCCCGAGGGGTAGGGGTGCGTGGGTCGGTGGGAGGAGGGTTGTGCATTGCCGTGTCTGCTGCGATGGGGCGAGTTCGGGAAACTTTAGTGGAAGTTAGGAAGGATAGGAAGGTTTCATAGCTGCTTTCTTAAGTAGAAGTATTTGGTGGTTGTGTTGTAGAAAGGCGTTCTGCGGCTCCGCATCAAGCGTTGGTGCATAGTTGTACCAAACTCTCAACAAAACCGGTGCGTCTCTCCACATCTCTCTAAACACTTGCATTCAAGCCGGTATCATTAATCAACATACACAACCGACTCTTTCAAACCCAACGCCCAGCATAAGAAGTCGTATTGCTCACATCGCCGTCCACAACAATCTTCCCTTCCTGCTTCCAAAGTTCACCCCTCAACACCCGCCCGTGCCACACGGCTGCATGAACGGCCCCCGATTCCTAGCAACAACCCACTACTTTACCAACGCCGCGCCGTCGCCCCCCTCCCCCCAAAAAGGGTCCTTAGCGCTTCATGTGATCGCATTTTGCTGCATAATCGCAAGGCTAAGTATACGTTTGCAGCCGTTCCAGTAATCCACGGTTTGCTATGTCAGACTGCCGCATGCGGTAAATGGCCCCACTTTGAGCAGGTCGGTTGGTTGGGGTCGGGAGGAGACGCGTGATTTTGGTGTTTTGGGCTTATAGATGCTGTAAGGGTTATGCAGGTGGTAGGCCTTTGGCTTCGAGGTTGTCCGCGACGACGCTGACTCGTTGGGTGCGACTGTCGTTGTCAATCGAGGATGCAAATGGGGAGGCTTGGCGGTTAAAAGTACCTCGGCAGCAGGTGGAAATCGTGCAGCAACGCGTCACATTTTGACGGACGAACGAAGAACAACTGATTTGTCTGTTGTCGAGTGTTTCGTTCACGTCTCCGAAGTTGAGAAATAACGGTACGCAGGCCTGTGCAGGATACTAAACACAATCCCCCGTCATTCGTTGTGTTCTCGTTGGTATGTTTCTCCTTCGAAAAGCTTCGTCACTACGTACCTACAATCTGTGGTGGATGCTCACACAGTTCAGTAGCATCCAGAGAAACGACCCAGCAGAATTTCAGCTACCAAACGCCAGAAGCAACATCACCAACCATGGCGCCGAAAAATCTTCGCAACACATACACGCCGCCTTCGAGCCCACACCTCAAGCCCATCATCATCTGTGGCATCGTAATGGCCCTTGCCGCTGCTCCTACCCCCGCCATATTTCATCATGGTAACCTCAACTCACCGCTTTCGGAAAACGTTGCTACAGCCGGACGATGGATTCAGACTGGGTTGTTCTACTTCCTCTATGGCGCACATGCAGTCGAGACACTCATGTTCATGAAGAGATTGAAAGAGCATGGTGTTGGTTTCTTAAGCGCAGCGTGGTTGAAGTGGGTAGCGACGTGTTTTGTCGGAGGAAAATTCTGCTTTGAGCACTTTGATCGTTTGGTGGGAAAGAAGGCTTAGACGGAGGTGGAGAGCAGATATCAGAAAGTAGGAGAAGACATAGATGAGGATGGAGAAGGCACGTTGAAATCGAACGGAATTGTATTCAGTAGAAGAGGATTCAGAAACTGAAAGTATACAGGCGTGCAACCCACTCCTTTTCTTTGACAGGTAAACTCTCGATACAGTTTTGCTCAATTTCAGCAACAAAGGACGCTTACGTCTGCGTTGTGTTCTTTCCGTTCAACACATCCAAGAAAGCTGTGTAAGCAGGCTTCTTCTGGAAGTTGTCCGTCCAGAGCAATGCAGATCCCTCACCGTTGAAGGTGCCAGGAACCCAGGAATACTTGTCCGCAACACCCTAATCACGACAAGTCAGCACACATACTCAAGCCATGGTAGATGAAGAGTGAAACAGCTGAAACTTACCCAGATGGTCATGCCGACACAGCGTTGCACGTTAATACAACTCTGAGCAATCCTCGCCCAAGCCGCCGCCGCATCCGTCAACTTCTGCGAGTTACTCGGCGTGCGAGATCGTACGTCCAACTCGGTGTATGCAACATCAACACCAAGATCAGCGTAATCCTGAAGTACCTTGGTCAACACGGCTGTGCTGGGCGTGATGTCGCTCTGGGTGCCTGTAGGCTCGGAGACCACATGGCCCTGCAGACCCACGCCATCGATCTTGACGCCCCAGGATTGCACGAGCTTGACGATGCGGAGGGCGCCTTGGTGCTTGGCCGAGCCGTATTCGAGATTGTAGTCGTTGTAGTAGAGTTTGGTGGTTGGGTCGGCGGCAGCGGCCATGCGGAAGGCGATGGGGAGGTATTGTTCGCCGATTACGCGGAGGAAGACGTTGTCTCTGTTTGTGCCGTCTTCGTTAAGGGCTGTTGGTAGTACGTCAGCTGGGTTTGTGTCTTTTGCTCACACGCAGTGTTTGTACCTTCGTTGACGACGTCCCAGTGGGTGCATTTTCCCTTGTATCTTCCCATGACTTGCTTGATGTGGTTCTCCATTACGCCCATCAAAGTGGCGTTGTTGTTGATTTGGTTCACCCAGCCTGGCAACTGACTGTACCAGACTAATGTATGGCAGCGCATCTATTGTACCCGTCAGCTCTAATTACTGCCAGTGTTTACCTGCAATGCTATGATGGATATCCTACCTGCTTATTGTTCTGGGTCGCAAAGTTCGCAACAGCATCTGCCTGTCCCCAGTTGAACTGGCCCCGATTGGGCTCTGTGGCGTCCCACTTCATAGCATTCTCCGGCGTAATGGAACCGAATTCCGCACTGCGGATGATGTTCTGCTCGGTGTTGTCATTGCGGATGGTTAAAGAAGTGCCGATGTAGGAACGGCCTCGCGCTTTCATGGCCGCATCAAGCGCTGTAGCTGTCTGCTGGCGAGGGTCGAGAGGCGTGCATGTGGCGATGCTGGCCAAAGCCAGAACGGTGCTGAGGGTAGAGAAATGCATCTTGGGTATTGGCCGTGACTTTCATGGTGAAGACTTGGGTGGCTCTATATATCTCATCTGTGACCCGGATGTTATACGATACCAACCGGGTTTTCTATCTGATGATCTCAAAGTACGATGCAAATACCCGTCTTGACATGTGTCTCTTAGAGTACTACACCCGTACAGCTAGCTTCCATAGTGTTGGTCATACTGGGCAGATCTGGCTCAAGAATGTACCCGGTGTAGAGCGCATGTGCACCATGTAAGACATATCGGAGAAATTAAAGATCGTTTATGTCAAGCAGGGCCGATGGGCTTGGTATCTGCTAAGTGTGCGGGGGAAGGGATTCCTCGAGCATGGCCCTTTAGCCTCTTTACCCGCTCGGCACATGTTCGGTACTCCTCACGGTAAAGTCGTGGACATGCGAGATGTACCTGAACATCATCGTGAATATACCCGGGGTTTACTATACTTGTTACCTAACTGCCAATTCAACCAGAAAGTCCACGTTGTACGCCACACCGCCGTCGACGACATATCTGCCGGATTTGTTGATCTGGATGTCGAACCGACGAATAATCTTTCAAGTTAGCAAAAAACATAGCGAGATCTATTTCAGGGAAAACTTACCTCCGGCAACAGCTTGTACATCTCCAACTTTGCGACATCTTTACCCAGACACATCCTCGGTCCAACCCCGAACGTGAACTGAGCTGCTTCCAGCTCGAAGTTTCTCTTCTCACCTTGCATCCATCTCTCAGGCTTGAAATCTTCAGCATCCTTCCCGTAGAAGCCCTTGTCTCGCTGCACGACGTACGCTTGGCAAGTGACATCCATTCCGCCAGGCACATAGTGTCCATCAACGACTTTGCCACCCTTTGGTGTCACCCTAGGGAACAGATTGGGGGCCGGTGGGAAAAGGCGAAGTCCCTCCTTGATGCATGCAATGAAGAACGGTAGATGCTGGAGGGTTTCATCATAACGGATTGGAGTTGATAGAAGGCCTGCTGAATCTGCTGCATCGAGCTCTGCGCGAACACGTGCGAGAGTAGACGGGTCTGACAATATGAGTCGGAGAATGCAACCCATTGCTGTGCCAGTTGTGTCTGCTCCAGCTTGGTAAAGAAGCGTGACATGGGCACGCTTTTGCGTCGGGGTCAGTGGTGAGCCATCTGAAAAACGGGCGTCGAGACAGCTGGATGCAATAAGTACGAAGACAATGCCTAAAGGAACATTGAATATGCTTACTGCTGTAGGAAGTCTGGCCTTCCATCATATGGCTTCTCTTTGTTTTGCTGCTCTCGCACGGTGACCTGGCGGTCTGCCTCGCCCATCAACCAGCCCATCCCGTAGTCATTAGAGGTAGTCGGTAACAGCCAGACCCCTAGAATAGGCAGTCGCAGGATTCGCTCCCGCAAGAATCGAAACCTTCCCGAGAAGCCGAAGAATGTCAAACCTTTGCGCCAATTGGTCAACAAGTATTTCTCATCGCGCTGGTTCTCAACACTGCCGAAGGGCTGCGTGAACGAGATTATGCTGAGGATATCGGCTGCAAATTCGGCGACCTTATCAGAAAGACAGATGGTGCGCTCGGCCTCAGCATGTTCTCTCAGCTTCTCAACGAGCAGGGAAACGTGGCTATCGAAGCGAGGCTCCCATGCGTTCTTCAGCGGGCCGATGGACCATGGTGCGTTCGATAGAGCCTTGCGCAAGACACGGTGCTTTTCACCATCTATCGTGGAAACCAGATGCGGAGGTCCCAAGGCTCCACTGTCGTACATGCCAGCCCTAGTGTTGCACTGTGGGTCCCGATAGATGTCTTTGAGGGCGGACGGCTTGGGAAAGAGCAACATCGTGGGGGATATGCGTATTGGGCGGTCCGCTGCGTCAATGTCAGAAGCTGCAGTCGCACAGGAAAATGAGAGGGTCGCCTACTTCCGTACTTCTCTACCAGATACATAAAGAACTGAGGCTCTCTGTGCAACACAGAGATTATGGCACCCACGACGGAGAACGAAGTCGCATACCACGGTCCCGGGAACTTTGAAAGAGGATGCAGCTTCTGCATGTAGAATATGCGACCCAAAATTGCTGTAAAGAGAATCACAAACGTAGCAAGACCGGCGTTCACAGCCTTTGCGGCGAGGGCTGCTGTATCAAAGATCGCCATTGTGCGCACGGCTTGCCAGTAGACCTCGTAGTGAATAGGACCTCAGGATTAAGATTGAGATATGGAGATAGAACAAGGCACCAACAGTATTTATGTTGCCCAGGTGCTTAACAAAGCGCTTCCACGCCCAGCGTAGATTGGCTCCATATCGGCTGCCTTTCGTGAGGGGTACCCAGCGGAGCTCACACCATGCTCGCATGCGATATACAAGCGCATGGGACGCATGCGTCTGGTATGTGTTCATGGCTGCAGTTGCGATGGTGGGGAAGCCTGTCGTGCTGGCGCCGTGGTGGATGCCTACGCTCGGCGCGTGTGAACGTATACAGCGCATTCGCCGAACGAGGATAATCACCCACATGAACAGCTGCGAAGTAATCAAAAAGCTGCTTACGGAACGCACTTAGTTGCTTAGCTACCAGCATTACAAAAAGGTGAACGAAGGTCGAGGCGAATGCGCGTTGATCTCCAGGGCTATGTGGAGGGGTGGCCGTGGCAATATGCACGCGGCATGCGAGAATACTGACGGGAGGAATCACGCGTCTGGGAGGACCAGGGCGAGCCTCAGTAATCATCGGATCTGGCATGTCTCATAGGCACTTTGCATGAGAAATTGATAGGCGTACATGCATGATGCAGCGAAAAAGATGGAGTTGTAGAATCGAGAAAGTTGCCGTGCACGAATGGAAGTCCCTCAACACCATTACGTCATTCAACCTTCCCAACCAGGTAGGTCTTGCCAGCGCCGTCAAATCCAGCAATCTTGAGGGAACAGAATCGGGCCCGGGGAGGCATCAAGAGACTGAGTGCTGGCCAGCCACTTGCTGCAGGACCTTCTCGCTACAGGGAACGCTCGCGATACAAAATTCCTTATCGCCCAAAATCAGTTGGGAGATTATCACGGATTTGGTCGGATGTCGGGGTGAGATCAATGTCAAGCGCATGTTGGAGGGGAAATCATGTTGGGTGGAAATCAATGTTCACTCAATTTCTGGCGCCATAATCCACAGTCTCTCTAAACCTGCCGTATGGGGTAAGTGGGCTGTCTCAGCCAATCAAAGCTGATCGCATGCCCTCCGCCCTTCTTGTTCGCACCCCGCCCCCTGCTTCGCTGCCGACATGTGCTGCCCGACGGCAACCCTGTGCCTGAACGGCAGATATGCGCAATCTTCCAAAAGGTTCCTACCCGTCGTAATCTTGTGTTGAATACACGCAACGACATGACGATCCGCCCTGCGAGCTACACGAGCTTCAAGGTATCGTGTGAATATCGCCCGTCATGTTTCCATGGTAGAGTGATGTGACGATGTGACGACAGGCAGGGCCAGGACGTCTGGGCCGCGATTGCATCGGCTATCCTGTGATGATGCTTGGTACTGAACCAGAAGGAGAACCTCACTCTACCGCCCTCCATCAGGGTCCGGCTCTCTGGGGCGGGGTTCCGAGAGAAGCAGGTTATAACCTTAGAACACTTCCCCATCCATGGATTGAGAATTGAAGCGCCGTCCGTCATGTCTGACGTTAACCCACTCGATGTTTTGGCCATCAAGAATGTCGTATCGCGATATTGCCAGGCGTTGGATTTGAAGGACTTTGATCTGCTGGGGAAGGTTTTCATATCCGATGTCGAAGCCAGCTACCCTTTCAATGAAGCTATGAAGAGCCTTGATGAGGTGAAGGATGCGATCAAGAACCGGTAGGGTCATCACTTGCATGTTGACAAGCAAGAATACAAAGTCTGACAGTACACAGCCTTGGACCAGTGCGCACACATCACAACCTCACGACGCAAACCATCACATTCAGATCCGATGCGCAGACGGCACGAGCTGTAACGTACTTCCAGGGAGTACACGTAAGTCGTTGGAACTCAGTCCTTACTCTCACTTTCTAGAAGCAACCAGTGTGCCTTGAAAGCCCGTCAAAGCGTTCGAGTCGCGCCATGACTTAGCTTGCCGTACATGGACTTTTCGTACCCAGATTGCCAGGACTAGATGCTGAGTCTTGCAGTTCGGTCAAGGCCCTCACGAGGGCAAGATGCTATGCGCGTATGGCAAGTACGTGGACGACATGGTAATGCTGGAGGCGAAGAACGGCGACTGTGATGGTGTGCGCGGTGCGAGCGGGGTCTGGAGGATCAAGGACAGAACAGTCACCTTCACCCAGCGGATCGGAGATGAAAAGATTATGGAGGAGCATTGAGGGTTGCGATGTGGGGTGGAAGTCGGTCGCTGCCGCCATTATCTAGCGCACGAATGCTGTTTATACCTTCCCCACCACTTGCAGTACAGCCAAGAGTTTTGACCACGTGTATGCGGCTGCCAACTTACGAGGCCCTTGCTTCCACAATCGGCTTCCTCTCGCGTCAACACTGTCGTCCGAGGTTTCACCTCACCACTGTTGTCCTGCATAGTTATCTCATCACAATCATCGCAGTGTTACTATCGCTCACGCTCACCAAGATATTCTTACAATAACAACGACACCGCCAAACACGACGACGACACCAATGTTTAGCAACAACCTTCCTACCCCGCTAACAACAGCACGGGAGACTGATGAAGCATTCCTCTAGACGAGGTGCAAGATATACATACAGGCGTAATACTGCTGCTACAGTCACCAGCACATAACTGACGTGCATAGGACACTGAGATGCGAATCGAACAGCTTCAAGAGACTACGTACAGAGTGGTTCTACTCACCCTACCGTAGCGACGAGATCGAGGCATACGATTTATCCTTGGAGAAGAAAGTCAATGAGAGAGACACATGCTGCATCGTTTACATCCGGCACTTTTTTGTTACCGGCTTAGACTTTGCGTACTGCGTACATGGAAGCGCAAACCTCGCGAAGTTCCATTCCGATGTGCATGGGGCGACAGCGGTATGTTGGACCAGCTAGTACTTTACGACCAAGACCCAGCTGAACGTATGACTTATAGTACAACGGCCCCATTCTTGCTTCGGTAATATCACTCCTCGGGCAAGAGCTCACTGTAGAAGACGAAGAATCCCGACGAATATGCTGGCCCACTTTCAAGAAGGTACCGAAGCAATCCGGGAGGTTTGAAGAAACTCCCACAAGGGCTGAGAAGATTCGCTGGCGCTACATGTTTGAAACAGCGCGATTGGCGTTCCGCAAGATGCGGTTCGATAACGAAGACTTCCAAAAACTCGAGAAGCTGGTGGGGGGTGCCAGCAGGCTAAGGGACGACACGCCTGAGGAAATCTTGGGCGTAAATGCCATCAGCGCGGGTCGGCACCACCAAGTACAAAGAGCCGCTGTTGAGCAAACCGTCAAATTGCTCCAGAAAAAGTACACCGACGATGAGGTTTACGACTTTCTGAAGAACGAACTGTATGGCCGGCGCCGGCGACAAGGACACAACTCACTCACTGGTAAGCAGCGAGACCTTGTGGACCGATCTTATAAAGTTCTCGAGGATATTGCGATTTTGAACGAAAGTGATGATAGCGACACAGCCGAAGCCAAAGAGAGTTTCGCAGAAGCATTAGTCCCAGCGACTGCAGAGAGGGACAATCTGGTCAGGAAGATAATAGACGAACTTGCGCAGTCTATCGATGAATCTGACACGGTTGCATCCCCCAAGTCGTTGCGAAGGCTTGTTCAGAGTACGCCTTCAAGCGACGAGAAGCTGCCAACACAAGACACGCCTGCAGCTCCGCGTACGACTGACGAAGGACCAACAAGAAGTCAGATTAGTTTTAAGGCGATACAAGAATTTCGCGAGCTCGTGGACATCGATTTTGAAGATGCCCAGAATTGGCTGGAACAGTTCAACTACAACGTGATCGACGCCGTGAACATGTACTACGAAGAGGATGAGGACGCAAATCGACCCGCTTCGCCCGATCCACAGCTGGAGGCTGGCTCGAAGATGAGTCTTGAGTCTGGCATTCCTCCTCCTGGTGACTCGACGAGCAATAACAGGCGAACTTTCAAGCCTATCAATGATCCTGTCTTTACGCCCATGGGAATCTTGGAGCGAATGACAGACAAGCGTGCGGATCACAAAAGGCTGGAGAGCATGATACAAGCAGAGCAAAGCCAGGACAAGCAAAGGGGGGCGGGAGAGAACAGCGGCAGTCTGAAGACCACGCCAACACTTCCGGAAGTAACCACATCGAAGACACGCTTAGGTCGCTCCCACACTGGTCGAGTCGTCTACTTAGACCCCCATGGCAATGTTATTGCACCAGTAGCAGAAGAACAGCCAGTACCAGAGAGTCAATGGCAAGCGTACCGAGCTATGAGAAGCAGACTACAAGTACAGTACTACGGTACTGAACACTGGTTCAACAACCCCGACCCCATCCGTGGCGTTCCTGAAAGAGAGAGACCTGACTACGTACGACCAGGTGATCTGGAATGCCAGGATGCCACGACCTCGACTGAAGCGGACGATGATGCTCAGAAGGCGTTCGCATCGATCCAGGCTGCAAATGCCGATTTAGTCGCCAAAGTGACCGAAGAAGAGCGCGAAGCCCAGCAAGAAAGAGACCTAGCTTACGCAATGTCACTGAATGCTCAACTCAATGGCGAAGTAGGAGGAACAGTTGCCGATGCAGCAGACGCTGGGTATGCGGAAGGAGAGTGGGACGGTATCAAAGCTGCGATTGAACTCTCCAAGCAGGAAGCAAGACCTCCTGTGCCGAAATTTCCTGTACCGGAGTCAATTGACAACTACCCATCTACCCGCGGCAATGATAGTCCAACAAACAGTAACCACGACTCTGCTTTCGGCGATGGTGAACACGATTCCCCACCACCCAGGCCGCAGAAGAAGCGAAAATCCATGGAATTGGACCAAGACGGGAACAAGAAGGGAAAGATGAACCCGCCATTGTTTGTCAGCATGCGAGATGTCGAGAAAGGAGAAAGTGACGTCGACGAGGCTACTCAAGAAAGGAAGCATGATCTCTTCGTCTCGAAAGAAGAAGATGCCTGGGATGGAAACGGTAGCGATGCAGAGTTCGAAGACGTCGACATCGACTTTGGCGACGACGAGGATGCGAGTACAGATGCCGATGCAGAGGGCGATACAGATCACGAATATTCTTCAGAGGAGACCATGAAGGTTGATGATGAAGAGGGCGATACAGATCACGAATACTCCTCGGAAGAGACCATGAAGGTTGGTGAGGAAGATGGTGATATAAGTGGGGGTTTATATCGATGGGGGTGAGTTGACATTTCAACGCCTGATGGCGTAGGCGCGGATGATACGCACTGGAATACATAGCAACATCGGCGAAGATGTGCATTCTGCGATGGATAGCTAGACATGTCTCATGGCGGAAGCGTATGATAATCCAACGTATTCTCACCTTCACACATACTTTCTGAGATGTCATGCCACGCACGTATACCCGTAGTCAGAGAAACTTTTCATAAAGTACTGATAGAATTCAATACTGAGACTAACACGACCACCCATTAAGTGCCCAAAGAATGCAAGGGTATTTGGCCGCACACGGGTCAGTGGCGGCAATGTAAGAAGATCTAAAGACCCCAGGTATGTCGTCCAAGCGGTGATGCGTGGAAACATCTAACTACGTATTCGTTACTCATGTCTCTTGTACGCCTATACGTTGTAAGTAGCACCTTCGTACGGTGCAGCGCAGCCGTTGGGCTGTCTGGACTACTCATTGTCCAAGAACTCTACCATCACGCTTGCACCCTTGAGTCCAGCGACTTCAATTGTGTCGTCGACGTGGTCGAGGAGGTTCTTGCCCATGAACGCCAGATCGAACTCAGCTCCTTGTTTGCCTTCCCAGGGTACGTCGGACTTGATCCACTCGTAGACGCGGCGAACAGGATCTGAGAGGTTGAAGCGGCGCACGATTGGGCGTCCTGACGGCCCACGGAATTGGATGCGGGTCGTGACTTTGGGGTCGGTAACGGTCGGCTCGGTATGGGGAGCATGTGCAGAGATAGCGGCGAAGACGGGATTTGAAGGAGCTGCCTCGGGCTCGGCTTCGGGTTCCGGTGCGGCTTCTTCGGCCTTGCCCTTGCCCTTGATGTTGTCCGTAGATTTGGTGAGAGCATCTGGGTCATCATCCTTTGGTCCCTTGCCGTTGTCCATGCTGTTTTGTAGTGCCATCTCTAGCATCTCCTCCTCAGTCATGCGGCCTACGTCCTTTTTCTTAGACTCAGACTTCCGCTTGGCTACGGGGTTCTTCGCGTTGACGTTGAGGCTGTAGCGATCAAGGAACTCGTGGAGCTGAGCATGGAACTCGACTGGCTCGGGTATCGGTGGGCCGGACCAGACCTTGACTTGCTCACCCGTTCGGGGATCGACGATGGCGATGTGAGGGTAGGCGTCGGAGCTGTCGCGGGCGTGGAAGTAGTAGTTCATGTACTGCTGTCCACGCTGGTCGTCTTTTGCGTATTGCATAAAGATGAAGTTCTCTCGTACCGTCGCTTTGATGTCTTCGTTCTTCCAGATGTCCCTGTTAAGGCGCTGGCAATCAAAGATTGCAGGATCTTGGATGTTGACGAGTAGCCACTTCTCCTCATCCTTGCCCATGTCTCGCGCCTTTTCCCAGGATCCCTGGTACATAATCTCGAATGGTGGGCGGAATAGCTCTGCGAGCATGTTCATCTTGGAGGACTGCTCGGAAGCACCGCCCGTCGCGGTCGCAAGCTCGCGTCGCCGAGTGCTCGAATCGGTCGCGTTGTCCCAGACATTGGTGTGGGTGGTGTGCTGGTTGAAGATACCTGCGCGGCCTTGATCCGATGGGTCAGCAAAGTCCGGGAATTGTATATATGAGGTGTGCGGCATACCTGTTCGCCGACGAGCCAGCTGCTCCTGGACCATGGCATCGAGATCCTCCTCGTCCTCAGCAGGCCCCCAGTTGGAGCCTGGCCCAACGAGTGTTTCCATTCTCCGCTCTATGGGCGCGCGGACCTCATCAGAGCCAGCTCCTCCAGGCGCGCCACCGCCGTACATCTCCTCTTGTAACCTCCGTGCCATGGCTTCGTCATCTTCCACGCCTGGCTGTGCTCGTGCGGGTGGCGTCGTGCCTTGTGGCGCAGGGTCGAAGTCCATGTCATCGTCTGAGTCGACATTGATGGGGTTCTGTGCGGAGGAAGCGGCGGCCGAGGGCTGCGAGGGAGCAGAAGGGGCATCGGCGAGCCCGGGGGAGTCGAAGAAGAGTTGGATGGCCTGCTCCAAGTTGCCATCGGTGAGACGCAGGTACTGGGCGGCCTTGTCTGGGTCGCACGAAGTGATGCCGCAGAAGTTGAGGACGTTCTCGTCGTCCATCTTGGGCGGCTGTGTGGGGTTCGACTTTGGGTGTTTGAGCGTGGTCCTGAGCTTGGGCAGGGAAAGACGACTCTTTAACCTATGGGGCAGGTTGCAGAAGCCTTTGTGAGGGCGGCGTGCTATTCCGAAGGCGCTGTTTGGCTCGCGTAGCAAGTTTGCGTGGTCGGGCGTGTGTCGAGAATTGTGTGTGGCGGTCGCGACTGCAGTCGAGAGAGAACCGTGGTGGGGCAGTTAAGTACCCATCAACGTCCGACAAGGGCTATCGAGGTGCGTGCACAGGGTAGGGCGATGGTTTGTGAGGCGGTGAGGGGGCTACACAGTGCGAGCTATGGGCGTCGAGTGCCAGTGTGATTGCAGGTGCGGTCGACGGCTTGTGACAGGCGCGGCTCCGGCGTGCTGGCGGGTACACGGCGGGGTGGTGGTCGAAGGCAATGGGACGGGCTAGGAGGGGGGCGAATTGCTAGCCAGGCGGTGTTGTAGGAGTGGCAGAGAGGCAGCAGGCGTCGACGTGGGCAGAAGCACGTCGAAGACGCGATGCGATTGTTGCAGGCAGGTGCGACTGCGTCATCCCGGTACCCGTGCGCCCACCCCTGTCGCTGTGAATGTCCGACACCACATGTGGCAATCACGGACGGAGAGGCCCAGTACACTACGACGCTGCATCGCTTGGTCATCCAGTCCTCCTGCCGCCCATGAGCCACGCCATCCGCGTCTGCCTGCTGCGCCTGCCATAAGACTCGCGTTTGTTGACCAGCACCCTCATACGATAGTCCCATCACATCACATCGCGCCATGGCGTCAGAACAAACCCCCGAAGCCAAAGAGCTTGCTCTGGTGGGCAAAGTCGAGATGCGCATTGCGCTTGCTAGCTCCGAGAAGAAGCTTGAGGACTTGCTCAAAGTCTATCTCTCTCCACTACTCCTCAAACTCGGCTCAGATAGCGTTGCTGTGCGGAATAAGGTCATCTCCATCTGCCAACACATCAACACCCGCATAAAGTCACAGTACGCTTTCACCCTCGCCCGACAAAGTGTTGCACTAACATAACATCGCAGAGACATCAAGCTCCCTGTGAGTGCTCTTCTAAAGCAGTATAAAGAGAATCCCGACATCTCTCTCATACGCCATTTCGACATCCTTTACATTCAGCAAGGCATATCGCGGCTTACAGTCGCCGAACGACTGGAGCTTCTTCCCATCCTGCTGCAAGGCATCGCCAAAGACTTTGAAAAGTCGGAACAGCATGCTTCTCAGCTGCTACATCTCATTCTACGTCTTCTGGTCCATTTCAAACTGCCCCTCCGCGGCAGCAAGGAGGACGATGAGCTGAGGTCAACTTTGGGCCTTTCCGATGACGATGCAGCCTTCCTCTCAAAATGGTTTGGGAAACTACTCATGCTAAGCATCGTGCGAGAGAGTAACCCTCAGGCCCAAGCCACGTTGCGTTGTCCGGGTTTATCTGTCGAAGACTACAAGTTTTTGACGCTCCAGGGCAAGCCAGATGCCTGGGATCCCACCTCCGATGCAGGCCTAAATCTGACTGAAACAAAAGCCCTGGTCACGCGCTTCATGGCAAGTGGGCTGTTCAAGGAAGATGAAAAGTTCTTGCCAGCACTATTCGCATCTGCAGATACCAACTCCCGGATATCAGAGGTTGGCGAGGACACTCTGAAACGTGTAATGCTATCCAAGGATTTTGAACAACCAGAAGTTGTGGAAGCTCTGTTCGAACTCTACTTTGGCTCGAGCTCGACGACTGGATCGTTGCCCGTAAAGACACCACTACAAATCAGGATACTCAACGTCTTGTCAAGATCTGTCAGGTGCACTGCATACCCACGGCAAATAGCGAGGCTCGTTGAAGAAGGCCTTCTCTCACCAGAACTGAATGCGACAAACAAGACAGCAGGGAGGGAAGCTTCCAAGTTTCGCTCAGCCATCTTCTCACTAGTCAACTTCGTTGCACGTCGTGGACAGTCCTCCGACCTTTCCCAGGTTGCTGAAAGTCTGGTAGGCAACCTGAGGGCCTTCATCCAAGATCAAGGCTGGCCAACTCCAGATCATGACCAAGACATGGAGCTACGAGGCTATGGCTATGAGACCATCGGACTGTTGGCGAAGGCTGCCCCCGAAAAGATACTCCTAGAACCGTCCCTGGACTTGTTAGAGTTTTTGTTTCGATCTCTCCGTGAGGATTCCGCAGGAAAGGATGTAGCTGTCAGTATAGAGGAAGCCTTATCTTCAGTACTCGGCGCATTTTCGAAACCTTTCGATCCTTCTGTCATGCCCAGGTTCCGGCAGATACTACTTAGATACGCGTCTGTAGATCAACATAACACGCCAGCTTCAGATCGGTTTACAAGAAGCACACGTTATGTTGCGACACGATTTGCAAACCGCTGTCTTCCGTATGAGGATGTGCTGGCGCGATGGATCGACATTCTCGCTGTCAGTGGAGGGGCTTCCGAAAGGCATGAGGTCATAGAGGAAGGACGACGTGGTCTCGATCCATACTGGTTCAGAATGTCCAATACCCCACCCGGCGAACGCGAACAAAGCACATTGGTCTTTCCGGACTTCGACAAGCTGGTCAACTTTATTATCGTTCAGCAAGGGCAGGATGAAGACGCGATGGATATCGACGAGTCAGAGGATGCTCTTGTTCAGATACAACACTTCTACCAGCAATACCCTGGAGCTCTACCGATTGTCATCAGCTTCTGTTCTAGCGTCGCGATGCATTCTGCGCTACATGACAAAGAGATGGGTGAAGAAATTCCGGAAGATTGGGACAGGAAGCTTGATGCCCAGATGACTACGGACATGCGCGCTCGGCAAGCGTTCCGTGCATATGCGGCAGACAAAGCCCACGCTCGATCGCTTGCAGTGATATTACGAGCCAGTTTTGACAGACTCACAAAAGACGATGTTAGTGACATTGGCGACATTGGCACTTCTTTCGTGCGAATGCTATCTTTACTACCGCAGCAGCACTGGGTTCAAGCCAACGTTGTCCGAGACTTCCGCGCTTTGCAGCCCTCTATCATAGCTAACAACACTGGGCGGCGACTCGCCGCCGCCCACGCGTATGGCTTGCTAGCATCGCACGATAGCATTGATCAAGACGCTCTTCAGTCCGCTCAAGTTGTCTTTTTCGACAAGCTCAGCACTTGGAAGTCGGCTGTCGGTGCTGATATCAATCAGATAAGCGGCATCATATTAGCGCTTGGCTACTATTACAGCAGAGCGTTCTGGAGAAGTGGAGCAGCATCTGCAACGATAACTGATGATCACCCCATTCAACAACTGTTACAATCAGTAGTAGAGATCATGAAGGACTCTCGGGACGCGACTTTGAAGGGTGCAGCCTTCTCTTGCATCGATCAACTCAGTCTGTTCTACGTTATCACCCCCTCGTTGCTGTCCAAGTACGCAAAGGTCGAAGACATTGCCGAACAAATATATGATTCCGCCAAGACAGGCACGACCAGTGCCATCATGGCTTTAGGCCATCTATCCATGATCACAGAGGAGACTGGAGCCGAAGCTGAGGAAGCTATAGAATACAAGGCCATCGGTGACAAGCTATATGAGCTACATGAGGTCCGTCAGCCGGAAGTACACTTTTCAGTTGGTGAAGCTCTAAGCTGCTTCGCCAGTGGCTGGGACTCGAAGGCTCTGACTTCCGAACTCGACATTCTACATCCCAACCAACCGCAAGACCCATGGGATGCGCCCCTACAGACACCATCTGGACCTAAGCGTGAGAAGACGCTTGGGGCAGTTTTGGAAAAGACGTTGAAGGGTTGCGTGCAGACCAAACCCTCATTGAAGAAAGCTTCAGTGATATGGTTACTGTGTCTCCTACAATACTGTGGTCACAAGCCCGAGATGCAGAGTTACCTTGGCCAATGCCAGGTAGCGTTTAAGAATTGTCTCTCTGATCGTGATGAGGTTGTTCAGGAAGCAGCTTCGCGAGGACTAGGGTTGGTGTATGAGAAGGGTGATCGCCAACTCAAAGATGACCTCGTCCGCGATCTAGTAGGCTCTTTCTCGGACAACAAGTCCAAGATGGCTGGTACTGTTACGGACGATACTCAGCTATTCGAGCCTGGTGCGCTGCCCACTGGAGACGGGTCCATCACGACTTACAAGGACATTCTGAACCTGGCAGCTGAGGTTGGAGATTCAAGTTTGGTATACCGTTTCATGTCAATGGCATCGAATAATTCCATCTGGTCAAGCAGAGCCGCTTTTGGTCGCTTTGGCCTGAGTAACATCTTCTCCGATTCAAGTGTCGACGGATATCTGGCCCAAAACCCCAAGCTTTACCCGAAGCTCTATCGATATCGGTATGTTCGCTGACCTAGTAGACACCTACTGAACATTTTGACGACATCATATTCTAACATGGACTCAGGTTCGATCCAAATACGAATGTGCAACGCTCGATGAACGACATTTGGAACGCGCTCGTCAAGGACTCCTCGGCGACTATCGACAAACATTTTGACGCAATAATGGACGATCTTCTAGTCAGCATACTCACGAAGGAGTGGCGCGTTCGTCAGGCTTCTTGCGCAGCTATCGCGGACCTCGTACAAGGACGAAGCATTGAAAAGGTAAGGAAATCGCAGTACAACACAATAAGCATACTGATAACTTCGAATAGTACGAGAAATATCTTGACGCGATCTGGGGAAAGACGTTCAAGGTTCTCGATGACATCAAGGAAACCGTCCGCGTCGCAGCAGCATCTCTCGCCCGTGTCCTCACTGGCATACTCACTCGTTCCCTCGAAGCCGGTGATGCGTCAAACAAATCCGCAACCATCCAGCTCGAACGTGTCATACCCTTCCTCTTCTCCACCAGTGGCTTGGAGTCTTCGGCTGAAGAGGTCCGTATGTTCTCAGTGCACACCTTGCTTCAGATTGTCAAGAAGAGCAACGCCAAAACACTTAATCCCCACGTTCCGGAGCTCGTGGAACGTCTGCTCGGAC